AGCGTGGTCACGATGTTGTCAAAAGATGAAGGCAATGAAGCCAACAAAAGCAGCGCCTTGTCCTCCTCTTCAATCTTCACATCAATGGATTCCAACTCTGTTGTAATCTTGTTGAATTCATCCAAGTGCCCATTAAAGTTAGCTTCCTCCGCCATTTGGAGACCAAATAATCGTTTCTTCAAGTATAGCCTACTTGTCAACGATTTCGACTTATACCGGCTCTCCAGCTTGTCCCAAATATCCACCGGGTCCGTCAAACCGAGAACCTCCCGAAGAGTATTATTTGCAAGGCATAGGCATATTGTACTTGTTGCCATGTCCTTCAAATCCTCCCACTCTTCTTCCGACATTTTTTCCGGTTTGTCGTTCTTCCGGTGTTTGGCCCACTCAGCATCCGTCATTTTTTCTGTCCTCTGAACCTTGACCTTCAGAGCTTTGATTGTCCCTTCCCGAGTAAGAACACTTTTTACTCGTTGCCATAGAGTAAAATCGCCACATCCATCGAAAGGTTCGACGGAAACATTTGAACTTTTTACCGATGCCATTTTTCAAGTTCTCGACTTTCTTCTCTTACCGCTTAGAAATCCCTCCGCCCCAAATGTAACTTGGCTCCGATACCACATGTTGGGACTGCGCGTGCCCTCACCCCAACCCCGCATTAGTATGATATTGTCCGCTCTGGGCCAAGCCCTCACGGATTTGTTTTTGGGCACTTCCCAAAAGGCCTCATACTAATGAGGTTGGGTGAACCTATATATTTTGGTTCAATTACTCCTAAACATTCGGTGTGGGACTTGGAGGAATCCCAACATGACTGACCGCGGTGCTCCTGTGTCAGTGTGCAGTGGGGACCTGAACTCCTATAGGTAATCAAAGGAACATTGCTCCGGTCTGTTTTGTTATTGTAATGGTCCTCTTTTACTTCTATTTAGGTGTTTTTCCCTAAAAAAAACTGGAAATATTTGCACTAAATAGCACTAAAACTTACTCCCTCTGTCCTAAAATTTTCTTCTCACTTCCCCTTTTTTTCCGTCCTAAAACTACCTTCCCATTAGAAAAAAAAGATGACAAATGACATTAATATCCTCATGTATTTATACCAATTATCTTCTAACTCTATATTTTGAATTACTTTTTAAAATATTAGTATATTAGAGTGGAAAAAATACATGTCTGCATTTTAACTGTTCACTTAACGCAAAAATGACACATCCAAGTAACACTAATGATCACTACCAAATTTGGGAGTAACAACGTAAATAAAAGAGAAATGTGGGAGTAATGATGTGAATAAAGAAATTTGGGAGTATTTTTGTAAAATCTGTAATTTCTGGGAGTATTCTTGTCAATTTTGCCTTAAGCGCCAAGAAGTACTCATATATGGATAAATTGAACAGAAAAACACACAAAAAAGAAACATATATAGATTAACGTACTGATGAGGTCGGGCATGTTGAGGCCATTGGAGAAACGACCGGTGGGGCGGTGAGTGGGATAGTCTATGCCGTAAGGCGGAGAATCCGCACGGGCGGTGGTGGCAAGGTAGTTGTTGTTCCCGTTGTCTACCAGCGAGTCTCCGAACACGAAAAACGCTCTAACGCCGCCACCACCGCCCTCCGCCGTCTCCACCTTATTCTTACTAATTACCTGCAAGGCAACAACTATGAAAAACCCAAAACCCAAAATTCTCGTCATCGAAATATAATTTCTCGATCTCGAAATATATATATTATTATTACGATGGACTTCCTATTATTCAAATGTGGTATTTATTAATTATATATTTTGTGTATACAATTTGGAGTAGAAGACTAATGTGTGTCTATGTATATATACACGTACGGAGTAATAATAATATAATAATGATAATAATCGAGGAAGGACTCCTATACTACGAACTACTACTGGCGATTCAAAGCTAAGCTATGAAATTAAGGAAGAACAATTATAACCGCTGCTGCAATTACATTCGTGCAGTAAATTAAAATACGTAATGTGGAGGCCGGTAATAATCAATGCATGCATGGGACAGTTAATTATTAGTTGTTAAGCTGGGGAATTTAATTTAGTTAAATGCATGCATGCCCCAATGCGTTTACTTAATCCGCTCGCGCGGGCTGAAATAATAGACTTGAGCCCAATTCAAACTCAAAAGTTAACTTAAGAGGTTAATGTACTCAAACTACTCCCTCCGTCCCACAAAGATTTACACATTTCAAAAAAATTGTGTCCCATAATCCCTTACCTATTTCTATTAAAAGACCACTTTTACCCCTTACTTTTTCAAACCCTACCTATCACATCATACATTTTTCCTAATAATCTACACATCACATCCTACTTTTACCCATCACATCAAGGGTATTTTTGGAAAGTCAACACAAAATTATCCCTTCTTTAATTTCAACTTTAATGAAAATGGGTAACACTTTATGGGACGGAGAGAGTATTAAATAGAAACACAATATAATGCTGCATAGCCGATGATGAACAAGTCAAGAGATACTTTAATTTAACTCTCCCACGTAACACCCAATATAAACTCAGACTAACATGTAGACATGCAGGAGTAAGTATTAGACAACCACAAATTTCTTTTGACCTTCGGAATTGGAAAAAAATAACCCTCTAACTTACTCTCTTTAGTTTATAAAATTGATGGTTCATATTTTCTAACTCCTTTTAAATTTCTATCATGTAGCAGGGAGCTAGGGTGAAGGAAGGAGTTAGGAGTAGAAACCATTAATTTTACCAACAGTACTGTATAATAATAATAATAATAATAATAATAACAATAATAACAATAGTAATAATAATAATAACAACAACAACAACAACAATCCCTCCTTTCAAAAAAAACTTCTCATTTACTATTCACATGGTCAAACTTTATTCACTTTGTTGGCCTATTTTCGTCACTCATTTGATAAAATAATATAGTTATGTCACCTCTAGTTTTGTATATCTTTTGATATAATTTTTTAATATCTAGTTTTTATTTTTAAAGTTTACACCATTTTTCATATAAAATAATTTGAGAATAATTTCAGTCAAACATCGTAACGCGCAAAGAAAAGTTTATTTGTGGACGGAGGGAGCTGAGTAATTATTATTATTATTATTATTATTATTATTATTATTATTATTATTATTATTATTATTATTATTATTATTATTATTATTATTATTATTATTATTATTATTATTAAGAGATGAATGAAGAACTTTAAATTAATTCTAAGGGTAGTAAACGAGTCTTAGCATTTACATTTTACGTATTACTACCTCCGTCCCAGAAAATTTGTCCACTTTCATTTTTACACACCATCCAATACACTTCTTTAATCCATTTTATCTTGTAATTTGTATATTAAAAAATTATAGAAATTATATATTAATAATCTATATGTTAAGACAAATCAAACTAGATCACACATGACTATATTTAGGCTTACACATTGAGAGAATTTCATTAGTCAAAGTGCTTAGATGAACATTTCTAAAAGTCAAAACTGGACGAAACTCCGGGACGAAGGGAGTATTTATTTTCCATTTAAGGAAATAGGAAAATAATTTTAGCACGATAGAAAAATGAAGGTGAGAAGAAAAAATTCGGATATGATTGGTTCTAATCAGATTGTTCTATTCGTCTGATTTGATTGACCTTGATTTATTTGGAATAAGTTTTAATCTGATCTCATGTAATTCTAATAAAAATAAATTGATGAGAACAAACTAGAAGTATAAAATCAAAACATATTGGTAGACAATAATAATAGTATTACTTATGGTAGTATTGGTCATGGTAGTATTTGATTATTAGTCAGCTCCCTATTTTTATTTATGGTACGTGTAGTATTTGAGTGAGTTTTCATTCTCTATTTCTAGTTGTATTTGGAGTTCCTCCTATATATACTGTATCACGTACTCCACAATTCAAGGAGTAATATTATTATTCCAATATTTCAACACATATTACCTATTTCTTAAATAAACTTTGGGGCCAAGGTCCATTCGAAGGGGGTGGGAGGTGGGCTCGGGTTTAGATTGGGGTGGGATTTATCAAGCTAAGGGATTAATAAGAGTATGAACCATCAATTTTACGAATGAGACATCGTATGATCTCTGGGTCATCTTAGCGAACCAACAGTCATTTTCTTTGTGGCAGTAGCCAAGTACCGAGTACAACTCTAAACCTAACCATTATCATTATACAATATATATCAAGATTACTAACACATATTTCACAACAAAAGTAGAGTAGTAGAACGTACCTAGTCCTTCGCTCATCAACCAATCAATTCCAATAATATTATAACTTAAATAAATCATAAAAAACAATCATGATCACATAAACAAATCTACGATCGACTATGCATACGAATTAACACTATCTATGATTTCTATGCTAAAACAAACCCACGAAGTAACCTCGATTATTTGATGAATTAAACAAATCAAGTGAACCAACAAACAGATAAGACGAAGAGTAGTGACAGATTAATATTTCCGACGACTCGGACGGTAATCACGGCAGTGCAAATTCGGTATTGGAAATTTCCAAGGAGGAGGTTCCCGTGAGTAACATATCATCAACATAGAGTAGGGAAATATTGAAAGCATTGCCATTTTTCTTGACAAATAAAAAATATTCCTATTTGGATTGAGTTTAACTAAGGTGGACAAAGAAATCACTGACTTCCATATTCCATGGCCTAGAAGCTTGTTTGAGACCATAGATGGAGCACTGCAATTTTCAAACTTGACCAGACAATGATTTGAAATATACTTCGAAGGCAACATAAATATGTCCTCATCAATATGACCAAACAAAAAAGAATTGTTAGCCTGTAATCTATGTAAGGACCAACCAAAAGCAGCAGCTAAATCTATAACAATCGTGAAAGTAGGTAATTTTGCAGAAGGAGAAAATGTATGTTTGTCGTCTTTCCCAAGTTTTTGGTCATAACTTTGTATAACAAGCATTGCCTTTAATCTTTGAGTGGTACCAACTGGGTTGTATTTGACTTTGTAAACCCATTTAGAACTAATAGCCTTGTGACCCTTAGGGAGTGAGGATAGAGTCCAAGTACTATTAGCCTCTAAAGCAGCAAGCTCTTGAGACATGACATTGCCCCACCCTGAGTATTTGCTAGTGTGACCGTAAGTGGTGGGTGTTTGGAATATAGTTAACACATTTGCTATGAAACTTGTAAAGTCAACTGGCAAAGAATCAGAGGTATCAATAGAAAACAAAGGATGAGTTGTGGAACAATGAGTTTATGTTCTTGAGTTAAAAGTAAGACATGCATATGAAGTGTGAAAACTTAGTTTGAATATTGATAATTCTTTTTGGTCTGGAGATAAGTTTGAGAGGGTAAAAAATGGACAAGATATGTAAGAACTGCATCAAATATGATGGGTTCAGAAGAAGGGGAATTGGCTATAGGAACTTGATCAATAATGAGAGGTTTAGAAGATGAAAGATTGGATGGAAGATCATCTAAAGAAATAGGACTTTGATCATCTAATCTGTGATGAAGATGGGAGTAGGATAAAAGAAATCAAGTGTTTGATGGGAAGAAGATGATAACGTTCTGTAAGGAAAATTATCCTCATGGAAGAGAATCTATTGCGGAAAGAAGTTCTGTTATCTAGATTAAAAATCTTGTACTTATTTTGAATAGAAGGATAGCCTATGAAAACATATTTTCTACCCTTGGGTGCAAGTTTGTCATGGGTTTGGCCTGCAACTTTAGCATAACACAAGGGAACGTTTTCAAATGGTCATAACAAGGTGGGCTTCCAAAGAAGATTTCATAAGGAGTTTTCCAAAGTAACTTGGCCATAGGGATAGCATTTTTTTATGATGTATGTGGCTACAAGGATACAATCTCCCCAAAAAGAAACTAGAAGATTGGCATGAATTTTTAAGACTCTATCAATTTCCAATAAGTGTCTATGTTTTCTCTCCGCAGCCCCATTTTGTTGTGGGGTGTATGTCATGGTTTTCTGATGGATGATCACAAGTTTTGAAAATAGATTGTGGCGCTCAGATCTGATTATTTATGTTTCATTATTTCTCTTCCAACTTCATTCAAATTTTTGATTATTTCTTCTAACATTCAACTCTTTTTTATTTCTTCTAACATCCAACTCTGATTTTATAATTTAAATGAATAGATCCCTATTGTAATGTTTCAACCAATTGCTTTTACCATGCTCGCGCATTGCGCAAAATTGTTATTAAAAGCACCAATAATGCTAGGGGTACACAAAAATATGATACCTTATTTGTACGTATACACCAAGCAAAAACACACACGCACACACACAAATACTATGTGTATGTGTCCTACGCATGTATCTCAGCACGCACAAACATTAAGTATCTGTGGTTATCAGTATTTGTTTAATTTCAAAATGACAAATGACATATCTCATTTTGGTAGTCCTAGCATCATAATTGAAACACGCATGCCGTTGGTAGAAAAACAATACCATAGGGAGTATTTAATTTTAATGAAGCATTAACGTTCGTATGCATGATGCATTACATTAGACCCAAAAATTCAGGCTCTTGATGTAGCCAGCGTCCACCCGTTCAAATAAATGTACCATCACTTGTATTAGACCCCAAAAAAAAAATATTAGACCCAAAAATTATACGGAGTATTACACCCAAAAACACAGGCCAACAACATGAACAGACTCTTTGTTCTTAAATTAAGTTCAGAACCAAGGCAGTAATGTTACCATTAATATTGGTGATAATAACAAAAAGTAAAAGTCACTCTTAATTTCTCTTCCGTTTGAAAGTAATTTTGGCAATATTTTGGAGGAGCGAAAATATTGTTTGTAATATTAAAAGTTAAAACAGATCTATAAACCGACTCTCATAAACGATGAATCCATCTCCGAGGGTCCTTCCAAAACCTGGCCGAGCATTTATTGAGAGGAGGTAATTAGAATTTAATCACAGATTGGTGGTAGGAATAGAATCTGCACTTGGTACTTGCAGAGGTTCTATGCTTAGCATAGTTTCCTTTCAGTGCAGTTACCAGTAATCAAACTCAAGTCTACCCTCTTGACACTCTTTGTCTTTGCCAACTGCGCAACGCCCACCAGCTATAAACCGACTTTCATAGTTTGATTTATTTATATGTGTGTGTGTGTGTGTGAGAAAAGTGTGGTAATAATTTGTTTTAAAGAAATTGTTCTCATTTTGATTTTTATCTTGATTTTCCAAAAAATACTCTTAGTATGTTGGGTAAAAATAGTGGTTCACACAAATTTTTAGAAATTACATTTGTTCTATACTGACTAGCTAAGATAAATGAAATGTTAAGTTTTTTCATTGAAGGTTGTATTTATAAGTTAATTAAAACATGAGTAAATTCTCAACATGGTACTCAATAAGTATGTGTTTTCCTAAATTAGTTCCTAAGATGTACAAATTATCGAGATGGTACCCTTTAACTGAAAATAGTGCCCAGTTTAGCCACCCTGACTAACCACCATCAAAATGGAGTCAAAATGACCTTAAAACTTATACTTATTTTCCAAAATGATCATTTCTAGTCGAATTATTCCAAATTAGTCAAATTTCGAAAAAAATCTCATTAAAAATGCTCTCCTGACTTCTCTCCAACACTATGAATCAATTACAAGGGAAGAATCATGCTTCATTTTTTCATATTAAATTAGTTTTTATATCGACAAATTTGAAAAAACATCCAATTATATGATCAATTTTGAAAATTAGTACTCCCTCCGTCCCTAAATAAACTTTCCTTTTTTACTTTTTGAGGATTTAAGGGAGGGATATTTTTGTGTTGACTTTCCAAAAATTCCCTTGATGTGATGTGTAAAAGTAAGATGTGATATGTAGATTATTAGTAAAAAGGTATGATGTAATAGGTAGAGTATGAAAAAGTAAGGGGTAAAAGGGGTTTTTTAAGGAAAAAGAGAAGTTTATTTGGAGACAAAGAAAAAACAAAAGGAGAAGTTTATTTAGAGACGGAGGGAGTATAAGTTTTAATGTCGTTTTGACGTTGTTTTGACGACCATTAGTCGAGAGGCTAAATTGGACATTATTTTTAATTAGCGAGTACCAACTCGGTAAGTTGTTCATCTATCTTGGAGACTAATTTAAAAAAATAAATAGTTATTGAGTACCATTTTGAAAATTTATTCTTAAAATATTTTAAATCACTACGCTAGCTACTAGAGTAGTAGAGTACTAGCGTGATCTTTTTTTTGGTACAAATTGGTTTGATCTTTGTCTGTGGGGGGTGGGGGGCTGTTTACTCTAATTCCGTATGTTAGAGCGATTGTTAAATTAAAGAGAAGCGGTAGAGTTACACCATCACGTGGTACGGTGATACCACATTCGTTGCCCACTAGGGCATCAACGATGTTCCAATAAAAAAAATTGATTTCCTAACTACCTCCGTAAACATATCTCTCATGTTTTACCTTGCTAACCCCGCTCTTGCCCCTTGACCCCAACCTAAACTGTAACTAAATGCAATTTAATTGCCCCAAAGTCAGGGTGGGGGCCGGGAAGTGAGGGAGAGAACAAAGGCGGGAGAAGTAGGAGTGAGATGAGAGAGATATATTTAGGGTCCGTTTGATATAAGGAATTGGTGGGATTAGAATTGAATTAGAATTCGAATTCTATGGGATTCAATTCCATAGAATTGAATTCTATCAATTTCAATTCATTTTTTGCACTATCAATTCCAAATCCACATAAATTTTGTGCCACCAAACACCAGAATTGGATTTGAAGTTTTCAATTCCAATTCCATAGTTTGAATTTTATGTACCAAACGGGATCTTAGTAAGATGGTTAGAAAGGATAAGAGTAATTAATTTTTTAATTAGTCGTTGGTGCTTAAGTACCAAGTTTAACAAGTGGCCAACCCATATATTTAGATGCTTATATTTTCAGAACTTTGGAAAAAACTGTTACTAGCTCCGTATTTTTTGGTTTGGATGTTGAAATGGTGACTTTAATTATATTTGTGCATTAATACTTTGGCTAAATTCTTATAATACTCTCTCTGTACCATAAAGTGTTACCCATTTTGACTAAAGTTGAAATTAAGAGAGGAATAATTTTGTGTTGACTTTCCAAAAATACCCTTGATGTGATGGGTAAAAGTAGGATATGATGTGTAGATTATTAGAAAAAAGGTATGATGTGATACGTAGAGTTTGAAAAAGTAAGGGGTAAAAGTGGTTTTTTAATAGAAATGGGTAAGGGATTGTGGGACATAATTTTTTTGAAACGTGTAAATCTTTTTGGGACGGAGGGAGTAGTTCTTTTGATCTTCAATAAGTACTAATTATCTACATGATATACATTTTATACATAGTAATTAAGATTTAATCCCTCTGCACTAATCCTCTATCAAAAATATTTATTACACACTCCCTCCGTCCCTAAAAATATAAGAGATTTTGATTTTGAAGGGATTTAAAGGAACGTATTTTAGTGTTGAGTTCTTAAAAATATTCTTGAATGTAATGAATAAAATGTGAAATTTGATAAATAGATTAATAGTGAATAGATTTGACAATAAGGTGATATGATAGGTAAGTTAAATGAGAAATCTTTTTTGAGATACATCGAAGAAAAAAGAGAACAAAAATTCATGGACGGAAGAAGTAGTGGTTAAGTTAAAGGTGTTTGGGTATTTTCCATCAATAAAATTTTGAATAAGTTTTTGAAATGATTCTTTGAATTACTTATTTTCTAAATTAGGTCTTTGAAAAGTGGAGTAACAATCTCGTTCGTCTCCCATCCTCAACTTTAGGTCTTTACGGATCCAATTGGGATAAAGTTCACATATGAATTCGAAATACATGTGATTATTTTAATTTTTGGGTGAAATGTGATTATTTTAATTAGTCCAAGATCGAGTAAATTAAAATACATGTGATCAATTATTTTAGTTTTTTTTGAAATTTATCTTTTTGAAATCACATGCCACTATAGTTGTTTTTGTTTCTAACAATAAATTCATTTCAAGTCTAATAAATCTAAGGTGTAAAATAAATGTGATTATTTAACAAAATGCCAAAATAATCCCCATTTAACAGACATATAACAAAATTATAACAGAATTTTTAATTTTACGGATAATTATGGAATGAATAAATTAAAATAATCTTAAATATAAAGATAAGTATGACGTGGATATGATAATTATTATTGAAAAAGGCACTATTACTCTAATTTTCATATTAAGCCTTATTCGGCCGCCGCTTAGTTAGTTACGTTGTTTGACGCATATATCACCTCTTTAGAAGAATTTTGTGTTAATTTTCTTGGCAAAATGCGTTTTAATTTGTACTATATATGTCACATATATACTCCGTATATGCTTGAAGTTCTTCATATACATAATTAAAATTGTAAGAAGCTATATTAAATTTACAATCTTGGAATAACATAAGCTTTTTTTACACGACTTTTGTACCAATTTATATATTGTTCGCCAAAACAAAGACTGTACGTGCTTATGGTAGTTTAGTTTAATTATGTGACCATAAACACTTCTTAGCTTGAACCCCATCGCCTCTATTTGATGGTGTAGTTATCCTCTATTTTTTCGTCGTCGTCGAGCAAGCTCGGCGCCGGAGTTTCCCAGAGCAAATACTTCCCATTGCGGTCCCGGAACACCGAAGCCTCGTCGAGCACCGAGCACTCCTCGGCGTAACACTCCAACACCGTCGCCGAGGACGAAAAGTAGGCCTCGCCGGAGACGTGGGGCCCGGTGACAGTGGACGAGGCCGGGGAGGAGGAGGAGCGGTCGTCCGCGGCGGCGGAGGCCGCCGGGAGGAGGTTGAGCTTGGCGGACGGGCCGTAGAGTTTCCTGGCGGCCTCGTCGTAGGCCCGGGCCGCCTCGAGGGACGTGTTGAACGTCCCGAGCCAGACGCGGGCCCCGCGGTTGGGCTCGCGGATCTCGGCCACCCATTTTCCCCAAGTGCGCTGCCTGACGCCCCGGAAAGTGCAGAGAGCGTTTTCCGGGCCGCCCTTTCCCCTCATGCACCCTTTCCTTGACCTCCCAACGTTGGACTTCTTCGGAAGAAGTCCAACGTTGTTTGAGGGTTTTCTAGCAAAACAATCTTCATTGTCTTCCATGATTGATTAATTAGGTTGAATGGGAATCAAGGGATATCATGTGTTTATATATATAGTAACTTAATAAATTGATAATAATTCTTAGCTTGGAAGAGTAGTAATGGTTTTGATATATATATATATACTCCTAGTATTGATTATGATGAGATGGGTGTAGAAGTTGGAGGGCGGGTCGTGTACAGATTACAAGTGGAAGTGGAGCTGAGTAAACACGTGTCCTCGCCTCCGCAGCCCAATTGTCGATTATACCCCTCCCCTGCGTTGTCTTCTTTTCCTTCACTTGGGCGGGCGCGCGCACACTTAACCAAACGCAGTCTTACTGCACATACATACATACATGCACGCAGCCGTTCGGTTTGATTGTGGATAAAGTTACCTTCTCACTTCATACTCACTCGCGGATCCAAAAAGGTGGAGGACCCGGGGCAACAATATATCTCCAGTTATAGTTCGTTTTACATATTATTTTTTAAAAAATTAATTTAATTATTGATTTATTACTCCATATTTAACACTCGTATATACTCCCTCCGTCACATAAAGATGGGTACATTTTGACTAAAGTAGAAATTAAGGGAGGAATAATTTTGTGTTGACTTTCCAAAAATACCCTTGATGTGATGGGTAAAAGTATGATGTGATGTGTAGATTATTAGGAAAAAGGTATGATGTGATAGGTAGGGTTTGAAAAAGTAAGGGGTAAAAGTGGTTTTTTAATAGAAATGAGTAAGGGATTGTGGGACGCAATTTTTTTGAAACATGTAAATTATAAATCTTTTTGGAACGGAGGGAGTATAACATAAAAACTTACAATTAAAACTAATAATACTGGTATGTGAGTAGGATTCACTCAAGGCATCTCAAGGAGATGTCACTATTAAAAGATTTGGATATTCAAGTCTATACTTTCAATAATATTTTTAAAATAGAACCCACATACATTTAAGCATCTAATGAGAGGTGCTATCATTGTGGATGCTCTAAAGCGTGAATAAAACTATGTGCAAATTTGAGAGTAACTAAGAATTGATAAGCTAATTAATCTTTTTTAAAAAGGTTAAAGCTGGTACAAAAAAAAACATTCTAAAAATTTGAACAAACTAAAAAAGAAACCTGATAATAAGAGCATCTCCAAGGGCTAGTCTAAATTTTGATAGTGTAAACCCTCTTTTACACTATCAACAGTGTTTTACACTTCAAGTTTTTTATATTCAATCCAACCATATCTTCTAAATAATATAATTTTATACTTCGTAATATTTAATTCATGCTATTTTTTAATCTAAAAACAAATTCATCAATGGCGAAGCTAAGTCCAAATCGAAGAAGATGAACAGTGGAGAAGTTTAGATCGAAGAAGACGAAGAGAAGTTCTTCAGATCACCTTTTGAGCTGTGGTTTTCTCTTATGCGACGCTTTAGTGGACTCAGCTCCATACGTTGGTGAAAACTGAAAAGGTTTCCAAATCTGTGTGTTCAGATTTTGGGATTCTTCGTGGGGGAGATGGAACAGAGAACAAATAGAATGGTAAAAGCTTTTCCATTTGGGTACAGTAACTCTTATATTTGGCAGCTCTGAATGGTAAAATGGACTACGGTGTATATTTTAGGAGATGCGCTGGAGAGCTCAATTTTGAACAGTAAAGGGCATTTCTTCTATTTTTTAACAGTTACTCAAATTTACACTCCCGGTTGGAGTTGCTCTAAAGGCTTAAAAATGTGAGGATATGGGACATTCAAAAAAACAATCAATAGGAAGGACAAAGGTATTGTTGTCAATTTCAAAAGATTGGGAATTTGGGATGGATGTGAAGTATCATTAACCACAATGAAGTGTCATTATCACTTTCCATTCAAAAATATAATTATAATACTTCATTATTTACTATTCTTCCGTTCCACAATAGTTTTTAATTCTCACTATTCTAAAACCACGTGAATTTTTGCTCATTACTATTTTTATTAATTATTTGATAAATAAAAAATATCTTTTTCCATCTCTTATTTTGAAAATTTTTTGAGGTGGTTTTTAAATATATGAATTTAACTTTTATTTATATATCAATCTTTAAATACTTCTTCCGTCCATTAATTTCTTTCTCATTTTTTTCTCACTTTTCCTTTTGAGTTTAAGAATTTTTCCCGTTTTCTATTTTGTCAAAAACTTGTAATAAATGTACCATTACACCTTACTTTTCATCTACATTATTCGTTTTATATATTACATCACATCAAAAGCAAATATGAATTTTTTTATATTTTTTAATTTTTCTTAATCTCAGTGTCAAGCCAAAATGAGAAAAAATAATGGACGAAGGAAGTAATATTAATTAAAAAGTTTAAATTTGATTTTATATTTTTACATAAAGTTATAAATTAAACATTTTACTTGAACAATTTGAGAGTACTCGTGCATGAGTCCGCACGCAAGAATGCCTTATATGGTGGTGTACATCGTCACCAGGCCATAATATTTTATAAATAAAAAAAAGGTCGACCTGATTTGAGGATCTGAACGGTTACTAATGAAACACTCTTTACTTGAATCTATTTACCCAATTTTGACTTTTTTTAGTCAATCCTTTTAAATCTTTGACTTATAATAAATTAAAATATACTATGTATATTGTATATTAATAAGATGAAAAAATATTTTAAAAACATTTCATATTATAAATCTAATAAAACTATTTTTGTATCAATATCTAATATCATTTTCATTTAATTTAAAATCAAAATTTACTAATTTTGTCTGAAAAAGTCAAAAATGGACAAATAGAAAGTATATAACCTATGTTTATACTTGTAAATTATAGGTTTATTCTAGACAAGTCAAAATAAAAAAAACTAGTGTTTCATTGTTCATAATTTTTGCTCTTTCAGTCTTTCATGAATAATTTTATCCCTTAATAATGCTTAGGTCGGTTATGTTCCATTTGTTTGATCTGATCTGATCTCATCTGATTCTTTATAGATCTATTCTGATCTAGTCTAATCAATTTAGTCATCTTACTTTTTATGAGTAATTTAGAGTGACTCATAATCTTTCTCTCTTTTCTATATAACTTTCAAATATACGTTTTTATTTTACTTACATTTTGTGTCCAGTCAAATTGTATGTTTTGTTGGAAGGGATGATATATATGGCAAGGAAACTAGCTAGCAAGCTACTAGCTAGGATTGATGATCTAGGTACATGTAACAGTAAACGACGTCGTCAATCGACACATGTCCTCTTTCTAGTCTTTATTGTAGCATTTGTTGTCGTGTACTCTGAGAGTACCTACGTAGTCATTTTTCTAGAAACAATGTTTAAAATAAAGTTGCCTGCAACCTATAAATAACAGCACACAATATAGAAATAAAGGTGGTGTTTAGACCTAGAAAAACAGATCCAGATCTGATAATTTGAATCGAATAATCCGTAATTGAATCTGAAAAAATGCAAAAGTTAAAGAATTGAATTAAACCCAAACACCCAAAATGAATCGAACCAAACCGAATGTATTCAGACTCATTCAAATTCGGATCTGATTAAATCCAAGCTTGTTAAATCTGAATCGATTAAACCCAGAACTGATCAAATCCGAAACTGATTACACACGAAACCGATTAGACCTTATATTGATCAAGTTCAAAACAAATTAAACTCAAATCCAGTCAAACCTAATAGCTCATTGATTGAAGTCTTTAAGAACAACATATTGGAATTATAGGTATAGCTGATTTAATGTACAAATCTATTATTCCATAGTTTATCATTTAAACTAAGGATGTTGTCTATTTTTATATAGATTTTATATAAATTATAGTGACATTGTAACACACATTGAAGGATATATTGGCTCATTACTGCAAACACTTGTATATATGCTCCCTTTACACATAGAGAGGAGAGACTACACACATGAGGCTAACATTAGGAAATCTAGTACTAAATGATTTTATCTGAAACTGATACAAACTCAAACCGACATATGCCCGAACGGGTATAAACTTGAATCGATAGAAATCTGAACTGATATAAATCTGAACCAAAATTGGAAAAAAATCTAAGCAAATTTAACCCGAAACCGAACTGAGCCGAGCCGATCCAAATTGATTGACCTGATTTCCAGGTCTAGACTTGTAACACCCCAACGCGCATAACCCGAATACCAAGGTCAGCGAACTGGGTTGCTACTAAATTAGTATCAAAACACAACTCATTTTCAACAATTTTAAATAAATACTTCAAAGTATAATTTCAAACATTCATTGGAGTAATTAAAAACTGTGCGGAAGCTTAAGTCATTATGCAAAACAAAACTTCAGGTTCAAGTCCATTAAAGTAATAAGTGCTTGAAACAATATTTAAATAAATAAGTCTTCAACTACAACCACACACATCTCCTACCCTAACGTCCTCTAGGATTGGTTCAAGGTTCATTGTGCTCTTGATTACCTACGTGCAGCAAAAGAATAAATGTTGCACGCTCAGCATTGAAGCTAAGTATTGAAACAAAAGAACAAATGTTGCAATCATCAGTATAAGATATTATACTCCTGCTACTTTTGTCAACTAACTTAGTTGGCTCATAACCTATTCAAGGTTCAAGCTTGTACTGATTCTTACTTATTGGAGTCATGATCTTCCCTTTAGAAATGAAGATCAAGCTCAACCAACTTCGTAGTTCCTCATTGGGTGGGTGAGATCCATGTCCCCTTTGGAACGATAGTTTATAGATCCTCGTGCGCATGTTTGTACCCGAATAGCCATTGGACCCACTAGGTGCCACATGGCTCTAACCTTTCTGTTCTTATGGCATACCTTACCTTTATTCCATTCCGGTCAAATGCTAGAGTTCCTCTAGGTTCATATATTACTTTAATGTCATATTACATTCATAAGTGCATATTACATTTATAGCGCTGAGTGTGAACACACATACTTACCGTCATGCAACATACAAGGTCTCGGAATAAGTCCTCGACACAAAAAAGTCTTACAAATAAACTCTAGGTTCCAGTTTGTGACGTTAGCCAGCTACCGTCCTAGCGGTAGTGCCTACAGTTCGTCTGATATTTAGGTACCAAACGGTCACAGGTTATGCCATTGCAGAATGGTCTGTGGCGGTAGCACGGTATCGGTCTGGCGGTAGTGCCTACCATCTAACACGGAAACCTATTCCTACACCATCCCAGTTCCATAAAAAACCGAACGCGAATTTCATGCAGCTCAATACAATGTTTATAATTCCATTCCCAAATACTCTCTAACCATACCATGATTATAACCATAACATTTCATACAAGTATAGAAAACCCTATAGGCCGGAAATATATAAATCCTAAACCTAGTGATACTATAACATCTAATTTGATCCTATTGATTAAACAAATGCATCGAAGTAAAGAAGCGGAAAAAGCAACACTCCAAGAAGTTTATAATTCCACTTATCTAATGAAAATTACGGTGTATATTACAATAAATGATAAATAATACTCCGTAAATCACTTTGTCCTCGAGGGTAGGCCAAGGTTCCCTGCTCGCACATGCCAAATTTTTAGAGGCCCAACATTTTTAATATTTTAATATTTATATTATACGGAGAATAATTTTTGTTAAAAATTTTAAAAACATAAATTTTTAAGATAACTATTACAATATTTTATTATAATACTACACTTTTCTTGTGTGTGTTACTCTGATATTAATTGTTATTTTAAAAACAAAATATTTTATATACTTTAATTTTTCAGGCCAAAGTACTTTTTCGTCTTGTCTAGGTAATTAGTGTATATATATATGTGTGTGTGTGTGTGTGTGTGTGTGTGTGTGTGTGTGTGTGTGTGTGTGTGTGTGTGTATGTGTGTATCAAATGATTATAAAATATTTTAAAATATAAATGAATTGAATATTTTTAAACGAACTGAATATATTTAAACGAATCGAATATTTAAACGAACCGAATATGTTTAATATATTAAACGAACCGAATACGAATCTTAAAAAATATTCGAACCGAATTCGAATATCACTCCATCTTAACGAATATGAATATTTTTCATAAATATTCGATTCGGTTCGGTTCGGTTCGTTTACAACCCTAGCGACCAGTGGCTTCGCAGTTCCGACGACGACAAATTCTGACACTGACCTGACCATACGAAGAAGAAGGAGGTGTACGTACAGATAGACCTGGCAATCGGGTTAATCGGTTCGGTTCGGGTCTCATTCTGATATATGTTATAATCGGTTCGGATCGCTTCGGTTCGGGTCAGCTCGGTTCCGGGTTAATTTCGGTTTCACTGGTTTTCAGTTTCAGTTTGGGTTTGTATCGGTTCGGGTTTGTATCGGATCGGGTTATATCAGTTCGAGTTTGTATCGGTTCGGGTTTGTATCGGTTCGAGTTTATATCGATTCGGGTTTGTATCAATTTAGGTTTATATTAGTTCAAATATATATCAAATATTTACTAATAAATCAACAATATCACATAATAAATTTAATCAATTTATGATATACTCCGTAGTTATTTTATTATTTAACACGGACGTACATAAAATTTAATTAATTTTGGGTATAATCGGTTCCAGGTTTAATCGGGTTCGGGTTTTATCGGATTCGGATCTGAATCGGGTCTGAATACATTCGGTTCGGGTTCGGTTCAGTTCGGGTCATTTCGGGTATTCGGGTCTATTTCAGTTCTTCAGTTTTCGGGTCAAATCGGGTTTGGTTCCGGGTTATTCAGTTCAGGTTATCGGGTCTAGGTCAGTTTTGCCAGGTCTACGTATAGATCCAGTGTCCATGCTGCTAAAAATACGAATTTGCCCTTGGTTCCGTCTTTTATTAATTTTTTAGTTTTATCCTTATTAATTATTTTACTCTCACTTCTTTCTAGGGCTGAGCATGGTTTGGTATGATACGGTATTTAGCTCGTACCGATGTCATACCAAATATTTCAGTTCGTTATGAGATTTTACGTTGTACCGATCCAAGCATCAGTTCGGTATGGTTAGGGATGGTTCGATATCACTTTCTGTACGAATTGGGATGAATATATACGTACCTAGTTTGCATCATAAAATGTAACAAAACTTTTTATTTTTGAAAAAAATCGAAAGTACATTTAACCAAAGAAAGATACAAAAAATTAAAAAATGAAAAAATGCAAGAAATGCTCATAAAAGTTAGTTTATATTTAACAAACTAAAGAGAACGACTGATAACAAAGTATTATTTCAAATATTTGTTAATATTCTTATACTTATCTACAAAAAAAACTCTTATTAAAGTGCAACTTAAACATATTGAAATTAAACTAAATTGTCTATATAAAATTTTTTATTTAATGAAGAAATATAAAAAAATTATTCTTTTTATAATATATTAATATATATGTTCGATTAGGGAATTTAGGTATGGGAAGTAACCTCGCACTGTTTCCAAATACCAGACCGACCGTTCGGTTTGGTACGATACAATTTCTTTTCGGTACTTTATCGGTTCGGTATTCTCGATTTTTTCGGGAAATATCGGGATCGGTTCGGTCCTTGTTCACCCCTACTTCTTTCTACACTATAAATACCATAATTTTCAGAACCAGACTGGGGACCGAACCGGTCAAGGTACTGGTTCACTTGTTCAGACCAGTGGTTCAAGTGGTCGAACCAGTGGTTCACGCATACTTGAAAATTCAATATATATATATATATATATATATATATATATATATATATATATATATATATATATGGGATTGACTCCAGTGAGATGACACCTTACAGTGAGATGACATGTTTCGGTGAGATGACGCAAAGCTCACCACATTACACTGCAAAGCTCACCAATGACCAATGTAAAGCTCACCTGGAAATAAAGCAAAGCTCACCACTTTGAACACCAAAACTCACCTTTTTTAATTTTGAAAATTAAAAAAATAATTAAAAATAAAATAGCAACACCGGTCAACCACCGGTCAGCAGCGGCGGCGCGGCAGAGACCGGCGGCGGCCGGCGGTGGTGGTCGGGGGCGGTAGAGGGCGGCGGCGGCGGCCAGCTGTGGCAGGCGGTGATCGGTGATGGTCAACGGTCAATGGTCAAAGTCTAGTCAGCACCCCTTCCTTTGATTTTTTTTCAAAAAAAAATCAAAGTGTTAATAAAATATGGTGAGCTTTGCCTAATAATTTGGTGAGCTTTGTAATTTTTTTTGGTGAGCTTTGCAGTGACCAGTTGTGAGCTTTGCATCATCTGACCGAAGCATGTCATCTCACTAGAGTCAATCTATATATATATATACACACACACACACACACACACACACACTTACAATTTGATATTAGTGTTTAGTTATACTTTGCGTCCAATTCCTGACAAATCACGTTATCCCCATGGACACGACATCTTTGCTTCCACCACTACACTCACTCATTACTTTTTCCACATTTCATCTCATCTTCATTTCCATCACTTTTTTATCAAGAGTTTTCAATGTCAAACGAAGCGCCAGAAATTTCTCCATCACTAGGGCCATCGTGTCTTCCTGCGTGCCATCACACTTAGGCAACTCAAGCATGGGTTTTGGAATACTTGTGTAGCAATCGCAAGAGGCCATGCTATTCGCATCTTGTTGCTTGATGATGTTTTTGGAATATTTTTGTTGCTCCTCACATATTCTTCCAAAAAATAGTGTTGGTCTTGGGCATAACACATTTTTTGTGTTGTTTCATTTCCCAAAGACACATTTATCATTCCAAAATGAACCCCATATTCTTCAAAGAAAAGTATTGCGGCCTTCATTCTTCAGCATGAAGTGACCATTAATTACTCTTCTCTTACGAGCCTGTCCCATTCAAATGGGCGGAGGCAGATGAGACTCTCAAAACAATGGACGAAATGCTAAACACCACTTGGAGCTTGCTTAAGTCTCAAATGGAAAAGATGTACAGCCTCAAACGATTGCAATCACATGGGAGTTTGTTGGGGCCTTTAATTGTTTAATAAAAAAACTGAAAACGTTAAGCATTTAACGTATATTACAAACAAACAAACCGGTAGAATCCTACGAAAGTAGGTTTTTAGGAGTGTGTGTGTACGCAGACCTCCCCACCACGCCCCCAGATCTAACATATGTTACAAAGATGAGCAAAAGACGCGCACTGAAGAAATAGTCGAGCAGGGACTTAGCCATCAGCAACTGCTGCCTTGGGATCCTCTGCGGCAACAAAACCGATGCTGAAGTCAAAGCTGATGCATGCCAGCTCGTGTTTCTTTTCATCCATCATTTTCATGGTAAGCGTGTAGGAGCCCTGGATTTTCCCAACATGCATCGGCTCATACAATCCCAAAACAACAATTAGAAGATGTGGTTTTACATGTACTCGAAATTTTTACATCATTTGGTTAACTTCCCAAAAATTGGGAAACTTGTTTTCAAGTCATCATCAGTATCCATTTTTATGAAGCTGAATATGATGCCAAATGAGATATCTGACTCAGGGAAGTATTAATATGTATGTACTGTGAAGAAATCTTACAGGGGGTGTTATCCCAGGCAACGCTTGGGTGTGCACTAGGACAAAATTGCCGGCAGAAATAGGGCAAGATGTCTCTGAACAAAGTTCATGTGTCTCACTGTAGACATTAAATATCCAGTATTTGACATCGATCTGCATTTTCCCCCCAGGTATGCCTTTATCTGAAAGATATATAACATGCATGTCAAAACTTCCAGCAATGAATCCCATAAGGTAGTGTTTGGGAACTAGCATTTCGTTTCAATTCTTGCATTTCAATTCCAAGATTTAAATTATTGAATTTCAAATGACAAGAGGAGGCATTGAGATTTGTAAATGAGCTTGATTATGAATTAGAGGAATTAGTCTCATACCCAAATCAAATTTTTGTGTGTCAAATCCGGATTTGAAATCCAAATTCAAATTTCCAAACATGCAATTAAGAGGATTTATTCTCAATTAGTTTTTTTTTCACGATAACATTACTCAAGCATGAGTATATGTAAAAAAAAGAACTCAGGAAAATGTATGAAAATAAAAATCACGATGATATTACTATAAATATAACTCTCTCGGGTCCTAAATAAACTTATTCATTTGAATTTTACGGTTTTTAAGGTGAATGGCAAAAACTAAAAGTGTTATTGGAAATGTGAAAAAGGATGTTGAGGAATGTAAAACGTGTTGTAAAAAGAGTAAAAACTGTTATGGGGAATGGGAGAAGGGGTGAATAGTAAAAGTAAGAAGTTTATTTTGGGACGTTGGAAAATGCGAAAGAGGAAGTTTATTTAGGACCAAAAGAAGTAATAATCATTATAATAACAATAAAAATATAAAATGGAACATACATAGATAAATAAAAGTTGTACTTTTAGAAAAATATGTAATTTATCCATCATCTCCGTTGGAGCCAAAGATTAACTATTTTTTGGCTTTGGAGTATGATGGAAAAAAGTAAAATGACTCATTATACAGCTTGGGCTTCTTTTAATAGTGAAGTAGGAGTTAGTCAATGCAATTTTCGACGCTCATTATGGGTCATCAAGGAATAGCCACTCTATGTTTTTAAATCTAAGGGTCCAAACCCCCTTACCCCGCAATGGGAGGAAGCCTTTGAGGCGTTGGGGGTAATGTTGTTGTATAGCAAAATATGCGATTTCAAGCCACTAACACCAACTTTTATGTTCATCTAACTTGACTCAAGCACACGCATAAACTAAGGCAACATGCTTGACAGATTAGAACGAAAACAAAATTATATTGCTTTAATGTCTGAAAGCAGGATTTAATCATCTTTTAGCGATCTCTTGTTCTGCATACCATCATTATCCATCTTAGAATTGAATTCTCCTCTTCTTTTGTGTATAGTTCAAATAGAATGAATGCAATTAAGATATCTACACATACTTATTTTTGTATTATGAAATTGTGAAAAAGACTACGAGGGCTCCAGACAGTAGAGTGAGACCTAGTGCTTTTGTGGAGCTTAGACAGGCGGAAACAATAATATACGGAGTATTAATGACAGAAAAGTAGTTCCCTCTGCTGGCATATATTCAATCCATACTGATGCAACATTGAGTCAATAATAACAATGTGTATATAATGTCCCTGGATGTACCATGAGAATCGTACATCTAACATATACAAATAATAATTCTACTGAATCTTGAAAGAGAAAATGAGAAGTGTTCAAACTTAAAAAAGCATTCTTTAAAAAAAAAATTATATAAAAAACATCAAACATTTGTTGGGGAAAATTCAGCTATCAGATAGCAATTAGCATATCAGAGATTGTAGTTTGTACTAGCAGTTCACTACTTAGAAAAAGATTTTTGGTTAATTAATACAGTTCTAAATAATAACCCTAAAATGCTAATGCGAATTGGTTTAGGAACATTGAAGCTGCTATTTTGATATTTGGTGCATGTTATAGTGCTAGTTACGTATTTCTCCCAACTTAAAACGCTAAATTGCAGAACACTTAACATTTTGACCAGTAAAAAATGTTGCTTTGGAACCATATGCTAAAATAAACAATATTTCAAGATTATGTCGATTGCCCAACATGGCCAAGAACGAGAACACAATGAAATAAACAGTAAAGAATGAGTGATCATCAAAATATTTTCAAATATATCATTTGATTACATGCAAGTAATTGCAGAGAATGCAAGAACAAAAGTTGCATTAAATGTGGGACACATAACCAACTAGGAGTGCAATAATACTAACAGCATGACAGATACCTGTGGAAGCCGATATAGTAAAAGTTGTGTTTACGCTTCTTTGCACAGGGCTGGGTGTTATGTCAACTCCGCTGACCTTCACATCATAGTTCTTCTTGCCTGCACGTATGACGTAAGCATGCATTAGCAAAAACCAACAACAACAACAACAGTCAACAAACCATGAAAAATCCAACAATTAAGGAGAAGTCCAGCCGAAAATTAAAATTGACATATTAAAAACAAAACAGCATAAGAAAGAGTCCAAGGGTCGTGTTTGGTGTACACTGAAGGCCAATTTCACAAACAGAACACAACATGTTTCAGCACGCTGCTAAGAGTGTGAAATTGGCCTTTGCCATACACCTTACGACAACAACTCAGTTGAATCCCACTAGAGTATGATCAGGGGAAGGGTCCATCTTTCCAAGAGACCTTTGTTCACCTTGGTTTAGATATAAAAACTTTGCCAAGTCCAAATGGTAGCCCATACGGCCTAAAACAATACTAGATTACATTAACTTCTACACTAGTCAAAATTAGTGACTTTATATTTTCTCCACAACATTTAGTATGGATTTATCAACAAATTAGGCATTTAGCTTCGAAAGCTTTTTTTTTCTTTTTATGAAAAGAATATCTAACGAGTAACGAAGGTGTCTAGACTTAACCTCTTACAGTTAATCTGTACCATTTAAAGATATCCGAAATCGTAACTGACAATTTAGTTCCCAAACAAAGCCTTAGACTATCAAAGGAAAATAAGAAACTTTATCTAAAGACAAGATCACAAGACCAATAATAAATTTCTTGGAACGGCTAAGAACCGAGCAATCTGGAATCCTAAAACCTCTGAATCTAGTCATCTGAACAAGTTCAAGCGGGATGTCATAAAAACAACAAAGGAATCGAGTATAATTGGTATTGACAAGTTAAAGGTCAGAGGGACGTACTGCAGAGCCGGAAATCAATGGGGTCGGCGAAGCTAGAAGCAAATATTGCAGAAAGAGAAACTAAAAGGGCAAGGGTGAATCTGGCTTCCGCCATTGATGATCAGAGAGAAAGAGAGAAGACTTGGGTCGGCGAAGGTGGGTATCGTACTGCCGAGGAAAAGCGTGATTTTAGCGATATATACCAATGAAAAACTTTGCTTTTGACTAAGTTCTGAATAGGGAAGTGCTAAATCTATAAGAGGTGAACCATTAAGTGCTTAACCAATAAGAGGTCTGAACCATTAAGAGCTAGTATATTTCTTAACTGTTCAGAGGCAAATGTCTGATCAATTCAGATTTAGAGGTTTTAATCATTAAGAGGCTGAAACAAACAGCCTGAACCATTAAGTGCTGAACCATTCAGACATCTGAACCAAAAACAGCCTCTTACTCTACTTAATATAGTCCCCCGGACTCATGAAACTTTTCAAAAATGAAAAAAGACACTTTTAAAAATGAGTTATTTTGATATTATTTTTTAATTATAAATCGTTTATCCAACACATCATTTCTTACTTTATTATGAAGTAAGGATAATATCAAAATTATATATTTTTAAGGCGCGCTTTATTTCTTTTTGAAAAGTTTATTGGGACGGAAGTAGTATTTAATTATGTGAGGGATTGTGAATGGTTTTCTGGTCAAAATTTTTATAAATTCTTTATAATTTAAAAACTAATTTTACAAATTGCTTATAAGTCAACAAAATAAATAGATCTTACTTACTTTTAAGTTAGCTTTTTCAAATTTTTGTTTCAACCAGACTATTTACAAAACTATTCTCAGTGTTTAAAAATATGTTCAAATGATTTATCTATCATCGTCTTCCTTCTTTTGACTAATATTGTAGCCAATGGACAATTTGGGGAGGAGGTGCCAAGGTGGGGGCAAGAGGTTAGAAGGAAAAGAACCATCAATTTTTCATTTAATTCATTACTTCTGTTGTCAAAAGAAGGGAGCTAATCTATCATTTAATTCATTACTTCTCTAAAAATATTTAACTTATAAGCAATTTATAAGTTAAAAGTTACTCAGAATTTATCAGCAATAAATCAGCAAGTTACTCAATACTTATAATTACTTCCTCAGTCTTGGAAAGATGTTCTCGAATGGTATTTTTACTATTTAAAGCCTTTTAAGAAGATTTGTAAAAAAGATATGGGGTAGAAGTTTATTAACATATCTTAATTAAAGTCGAAGAAATATACTCCCTTCGTTCTAATTTAAATAGCATGTCTCGGTTTACGACGTTTGATTGAAGTTATTATCAAATCGTTTTATATAAAAAATGGTGTTGAATTAAAAAATTAAAAACTACATATTAAACATTACATCAAAAGATTTACAATACTAGACTACTAGTAGTATATAATTATATTATTTTATCAAATTACTAACCAAAATAGAAAAAAATGAATAAAGTTTGACCATATAAATAATTTGGGACATGGGAGTATTAAATGATGAGGTAAAGTGTAATAAATAAAATAAATAAGGGTAGTTATCGTGCTTTAAATACTCGTATAGAAAATGTAATGAAATTTTTTCCAAGATATTCCAAAAAGACATTTAAGATCTTCTTTTCTAGGCGGAGGAAGTTAAAATGCTTCATCAGATTTTTTTTCTCTTTTTTTTGTGTACATCTTATACTTATGAAAATAAAATGGTACGATAACTTAATGTCGCAGTTGCTACATTTTTTGTCTAATTTATGAACCATTTCTTCTGCCATTAACACTTGATCTTCCACTCCCGAGTCACGTACCCTTTTAGAATCCTCATTCTTCAATAGAGATTAACTTAGGCAACACCAATTGAAGTCTAGTGACTAATAAATAATCTTGAGTTAATCTTGGTGATGATGAATGTACATTTCTTATTTCTTTTTTCATCAATTTCAAGCAAAAGGTGACACATTCCGTTTTTGTATAGGCATGACATTGAGTTGAGTTTTGATTAGGTGAAACTTCACGTTCATGCCCCTCATCTATTGATTAACTCTATATCCGTCACCTGATTCATTCATCACCTGCTACATATATCACCAATTACCTGATCCATTCACCATCGCACATGAAACGAGTGAAAATATGTGATACTACCTCCATCCCAATTTATAACGCCTGTTTCGGTTTACGATGTTTGACCGAAATTATTTTCAAACCATTTTATATGACAAATGATATAGAATTAAAAAATAAAAATTACATATTAAAAAACTACATCAAAAGATCTACAAAACTAGTAATGACAATAATATTTTATTTTATCAAATTGTTAACGAAAATAGAGAAAGAAAGTGAATAAAGTTTGACCCTGTGAATAGTAAACATGCATTATAATTTGGGACGGAGGGAGTATTAATCATGGTTTTCTAGTCATTACTTAATGAAATGAAGAACTTGTTGTGCACATAGCGCAGAGAACATCGCAGAAAAATAAGAGATTAATAAATTTTATGATGAAACCTCATTAAGAAATAATCTTTTTCTAAGAGCATCTCAAATAATTTCATTTTCGGTTGTTAAAAGCTACTCGTATAATATAGCAAGCCAATGGATTATATGACACGGACAGGAGTATTAAGCAAATGGCTGGTTGCGTTTACTTCAGCCCCATCATCATATACGCAGGAGAGCCCAAATACAAATTATAATTAATACACTTCTCAGAACCATTCAAATGTTGTTCACCATCAGCACACAGAGAGAGATGTTTTCAAATCCGGAAAGAAAAATCGCCAGTGAGAAGAAACCAAGATATATGCACAACACCAAACACAAAATCAGAAGAATTTATTGTATTGGCTGGTAAGGGAATCTTTGAGATTGGAATATACGCTGTACAGCGAGTACTGGCGAAGGTTCTTCACTTCGTACCACGAGTTGAAAACGGACTCGTGCTCGTCAGTGCCGGAAAACGCAACTTGTATTCCAAGGCTACAGTCCACATTGCCTCCTCGGTTCTTGCAGGAGCTGACCTTCATTGCACAGTCTTGATGATTGAGGCATACGAAGTTAGAGGAGTGCTTGCAAGATGTGCACCCGTCCCTCTTCCAGAACAGGTTTTGCAGCCTGCCCTTTTTGAATTCAAGAACCTGAACCACACAGATGTATTACGTTACGGTGGCTCAGTTCGGTGGTCATAATCGGCTGGTTCAGTTTATTATAGTATTTATCAACACAAGTCACTTTAGATGTAATAGTTTTGCTATCAAATGCTCTTCATTTGACAAAATTTAGCAGATCCATCAATTTCAGCAGATTATCCTTTAATCTAAGAAACTCTAATTGATCAAGCTGCTTGAAGAATAAACGATGTTTCATTTGAAATGATGCATTAAGGATTTCTTACCAATGTAAAGCTTGTCACAATGTAACTACTATTTGCAACAAAAGCTGGGACAGACCTTGCAGCATATTTTCGACCTGCAAATGCCACCATATACCCACCATAGGAATCCTGTTGTTCATATGAAAGAATATAACTAACTTATGTACTGTTAAAAACAAACTCAATAGCCAGAAATAGGACACATAGCGGATGTTGCTGAAAAACAAAAGTTTGAATTGCGTGTCCTCTTCTACTTTCAATGTTTAGAAAAACAAAATACTGCATTCTTAGAGAGGATCATATATTCATATATATGTAAAAAAAACAACTTAACTGAAAAATTACTGCATTCTAAGATAGGATCACATATCCATTTCGAACCACACATGCTTCTTTGAAACTTTGCCAATCAGTACCCCCATGTCGCCATCCCCCTCAAACTTATCAAACCATATTTGGGCTCTCCCAGTTAGATGTCGCCACCCCCCACAAA